AACCCAAATGCTCGATCTGCCATTGCATATTGTAACAAACTGCTATTATGGAAATCCTCATTTTATAATTATTCATAACTATAACCTTTATAGACAGAGATACTACATTTAATGTCATATATTTGTATTTTTATATGTGAAATCAACACCTGATGAGCATATCTGTAATTACTTTAAAGCTACATCATTATATAAAAAGAATTGTGCACGAAGACAAAATTGGTTTACGCAAACTTTTTGATGAAAATGGAGATTATGTCACCATATACAAGATTATGAATTGGATAATGCTGCCTGATCAAACCACGATGGTAAAGATAGTTGGTCAATTCAATCCTTGGGCTCCAGACAGAGAAAAGCTTTTTATTGTCTCAAACGTAATATTCTGGAAGAATAACAACAATGAGGTAAGAATGGATTCTTCTAACTTTTTGTATATTTACATTAAAACACAGTTTGTTAGCATAAAATGATTTGGTGCATTATAGGGTGTTCTGATCAAAATCTGGCTCTGGGATTCAATAATTAATATCTATAATATGTTATGTGACCCACTTGTGTATTCATTAATAGCCTCCGTGCACCACGGACCATGGATAGCGGCTTGAAGAAAAACTAGATCCCCCTCCCCCATTTATTTTATTAACACCCCCTCATGCTGCTCATTGGAAGAGGCTGAATGACACTAGAATGTCTCTCTATTTTATTATTTAATAGAGCCCTTACCAACCATTATGTAAATTTAAGCTCCCCTCTGATTCCCATATGTGGGGCATGAGGGGACCGGAACCAGGTGCTCTCTATATTTTTTTAATGACGGGGCAGCAACAGCTGACCAATCACTTGTTTATAATTAAATTGGGCAGGAACTAGTTTCTCTGCCTGACCATGGCATGTATGTTTGGGGAATAAGGGAGGTATTTTTTCTCTTTTATAAAAATAGTCTCGTCTTAACCCAATAGTCTTTTTTTCTATTTTTTTATTTTTTTTTTATTTCTGATTTTTCTGAATCATTATGCGCAGGCAAAGCAATTTAGATGAATCAAAATGACATATGAACAAAATATGGCCAAACATTTTTTTTTTTTGTGCAAATCAATTCAGTAGAACCAATTTCTTTTGACATGCCCAAGTTTAGTAATTAATAGAGATGCCAAGCAGCTGGAGAAACATGCTAAAGTAAGCTGGAATACGAGTGAATTTGCAGAATATATGAATTAATAGTGTTGCTACCCCAAATTTGGGAAACCAAATAAAAATGCAAGGTTAATTGAAAGATTATTGCAGATTCCAGTCTTTGGTGCTGGTTCCATAGTGTAACATATTTCTCCTCACATTGTGGTATTTGCTCCAAGCGGCCGTGAGTCTGTATAACCGATTCTTGCAACATGTTGATGGATGCCGGGCGCTGTGGATCCACACTAAATGATACCCCCACGTCCGCCCACGTTATTGACGACGTCGGCATGCACGAGCCGTCACATGGGAGACGCGCGCATGTTTTGGTGTCAAAGGCTGTTTTTGGCCAATCAGAACTGTAAAGCACTTATTTAAATGCAAAGTTACTTTTCCTCATTGCCCTGTCTTGGATTCCCTAGTTGTTATCCAAGAGTGTGTTCCTGAGCGTTTATTTCTGGTTTTTGACTTTGGCTTCATTTGACTTTGCTGTATTCTGGTATTCTTGCTTTCCCTTATCGTTGTGTCCCATTCTGTGCCCCCTGACCTCGGCAAGTATTCTGACTATTCTTTGGTACGTTAAGTCTGGCCATCCTAAGGCCCGGTAAGACATTAGCTTCTAGTCCTAGTTGTGATACAATTCTACGTGCGGGATCAATTAGTAATCCTGACACAGTTCACAGAACGGTAAATTGTAGCAAACAAATAATAGAAAACACAGTAAATTGATTTTTTATTTACATAAACTACCTCATAAACAGTGTGCACTTTATGCTTGTTTTTGTCTTTCACATAAACTACAGAGAAACCACTAAACCACCAACACATCCTTAAGGTAGGGATTATACCACTCCACGCTGTTTAAGAGATCCATATTGAAGGCTCCAATAAATGTAAGTGCATCCATATTCACCTATTTTATAGACTCATATAATCTTAAGATACTATACTTTATAGTGTTTTACCCAAATGACTATTTCACACATTTAACTCTCTTCTTCGCCCTGCTGTTACTCCTCCACCTACTAACTTGACCGCCACAGACTTTGCAACTCACTTCACTGACAAGATCTCTACAATCAGAGAAGAGATCTCTCATCTTTCTTCTTCCCCTTACAATACTTCCCCTAACTTCACTCCCTCTACTGTTCTATGTTCATTCGCACCCGCTACATTGGAAGAGGTTTCTGTTCTGCTCCAGTCCTCCCGCCCACCACCTGTTCCCTAGATCCAATTCCCTCGCATCTCATCCGTACTGTCTTCTTCTCTTTCTCCACCTCTCACTAAAATTCTCAATCTCTCTGTCTCCTCTGATATATTTCCATCGCCCTTCAAACATGCAACTGTAACCCCAATTCTAAAGAAGCCCAATCTTGACCCTAACTCCCCATCCAACTATCGTCCTATCTCGCTACTGCCTTTTGCATCCAAGATCCTTGAAAGAATTGTGTATGCGAGATTGACAGACTTCCTCGAGTCCAACTCTCTGGTAGACCCACTTCAGTCTGGTTTCCGCGCTAAGCACTCTTTGGAAACTGCACTGACCAAAGTATCCAATGATCTACTCGCTGCAAAATCTTGTGATCGCTACTCTATTCTAATTCTCCTTGACCTGTCCGCGGCTTTTGACACTGTTGATCATCAACAGCTTCTTCTCATCCTCCGCAATATCGGTCTACAACATATTGCTCTCTCCTGGTGCTCCTCCTACCTCTCCCAGCGCTCTTTCAGTGTTTCTTTCTCTGGCTCTGCTTCTTCCCCCCCCCCCAACTCCTCTCTGTTGGTGTCCCCCAAGGCTCAGTCCTTGGTCCCCTAGTGTTCTCCATCCTCTGCTGTTTCTAACTGGATGGCTGCCCACTTCCTTAAACTAAACTTGACCAAAACTGAAATTCTGGTCTTTCCTCCCTCAAGTGTTACTCCTGTGTCTGTCTCCCTCCAAGTCAATGGTGCTACCATCAGCTCCACCACGCAGGCTCGCTGCCTAGGTGTTCTCTTTGACTCCGACCTCTCCTTCAAGCCCGATGTTCAGTCTATCGCCAAATCCTGTCATTTCCATCTCAATAACATTGCGCGCATCCGCCCCTACTTAATGCCAGATGCGATTAAGGTGTTGGTCCATTCCACTGATCTTTCTCACCTTGACTACTGTAATCCGCTTCTCAGTGGTCTTATGTGCTCCCAACTTGAGCCGTTACAGTCCATAATGAATGCGGCGGCGAGGCTCATCTTCCTGTCTGCCCGCACCTCCCATGCCTCACCCTTCTGTCAGTCCCTACATTGGCTTCTTATAAAATATAGAGCTCAATTTAAAATTCTGGTTCTTGCTTTCAAATCTCTACATACTGCTGCTCCCACCTAGCTATCATCTCTCATACACAAGTATGTCCCGTCTACGCCCTTACGATTCTTCTGTCCATACTTCCACCTCTGATGCTCGCCTTCAAGATTTCTCGAGGGCTGCACAGTTCCTGTGGAACTCGCTTCCCTCCTCCGTTAGATGCTCACCCAGTCTCCACTCCTTCAAAAAAATTATTAAAAACCCACTTCTTCATAAAAGCGTATCAATTAAACTGTTAATAGCTCCTGACTGGTGATGTCGCGAAAACAAAATTTTCGGTCGGCGAACGCGAACTTCCGCAAATGTTCGCGTACCACCATAGACTTAAATGGGCAGGCAAATTTTAAAACACACAGGGACTCTTTCTGGCCACAATAGGGATGGAAAAGTTGTTTCAAGGGGACTAACACCTGGACTGTGGCATGCCTGAGGGGGATCCATGGCAA